CCCAGAATTCCCCAGCCAGTATCCTGGCTGGGGAATTCTGGGAATTGAAGTCCACACTTCTTAAAGTTGCTGAGGTTGAGCAACACTGGTATAAAGGATTTCTTGATTAAGTTTGATGGCAGTTTTAAAGTAGGCTGATTACACATTATCTCATCACAGACTTTCCATGGCAACATAGTGTCAAGCACATACCTGGCAAAATTCCTTCCAGACAGGAAATACAGTAGAAGTCAAGCTGACAAAAGAAAGAAGATGTTTCTATTTCAAATATTGATGGATCATTCCTAAACAGGAACTGGGGACAGTAAGAAGAAGGAACAAATGTTTAATACTAATACTGTGAATCTCATTCACTTGCTTCACTTTATACTCTATCGTCATGTATGCTATTTTTTTCAATAAACTTTTTTCTTCTGCTTTCTTATATAATATTCTTTTGGGTGACCATAGATGTCCATATATTACTAAGTAAAATTTCACCCAAATTTGCATTATTGCCCTGAAAGTATTTCTTTTATACAAATGACCAGGAGGACAAATCATGCCTTTGCTATCTCCATATTGAGGTTTTTTTTTTCTTTTCAGCCCTTACTGAATTGTTAATTTGAGAAACATAGTCTTAGTTTTCTCCAGCATTCTTGTTTTGTCCATGTTCTTAAACTGTAGACAACTTATATTATTTACTTCCTCTGCTGCCAGTTTCATACCAACTGTATCTTACTGAGATCCTCCCTTATAGCCAAGTAGTTGTTTAACTTGAAACAGTTCAAAATAACATTTCAAGTTAAGTTAAGAAGGGTTTACCAAGTCCATAAGTAGGCAGGTGCCAGAAAATTCGAAGCCAGAGAACTGAGAAATAAAGGAGTCTCAATTAATAGAAAAAGCTCTGCAGGAATAACAGATCTCCTTGGGGCAAGTTACAACACCTGTGTTTCCACTCAGAAAATTGTATGTGTTTTGTGTGTGTGTGTGTGTGCACATGCACACATATAAATTTTTTATTAAAGCTTTTAAAAAAGAAGATAAAAACTGACACAAACTAATATAAAGAAAGAAAAAGGAAAAATCAGTAAAAAGCAAAAAGTGCAAGAAAAGAAAAAACGTTGAGGAAAAATAGGAAAGAAAAAAAAAGATATAAAGAAGCGGATTCTGATATTCTTCACAGCAGTTAGAAGTACAAATATGTTTTAACCTTTCTCTGTAATGCTAAATCATATCACTCTTCTTTCTATAATCTATCCTGTCTGATCATCAAAATCATAAATCATGAATTCATTTTTTTTTCATGTTTACACAAAAAGTGCATAAGGGGCTTCCAATCACCAATAAATGCAGATGGTGTCTTCTCTCTAATCAAAGAAGTTCCACTCATATAATTGAATCCAAGAGTGGGCAATATTTTTAGGCTCAGCAGTCACAAATCTTATGTTTGTGACCTTCCTGATGCATAAGGGACATCATTTTATTTATTGATGTTACTGTAATGGGCAGACCTAACATTCTGACATACTCTTTGCATGTATGAAGAGGGTTAAAGAGCCCCTTTATCCCCAAAATGGAAAAATGGCCAATTTTGGGAGAAGGCATATTAATCTTATGAACAATTTTTGATAGAACTCATATAGCTTATAATGTTTCTAAGAAATTAACTAATCTGACTTATTTTTGCAATTAAATCCATCTCTGGAGTACAAGTTATGGCAATGGACAAGGAACTGAAAGGTCCAGATTCAAATCAGCCTCAAGCTGTGAAAGCTCAAAGGATGACTTTGGGCAAGTCACTGTCTCTATACAACCTTCCTCACAGGAGGGGGGGAAATGGAGAAGTATTTTGTATGCTGCTTTGAGTTCCTGGAGGAACTGCAGGATATAAATCTAACAAATCAAATAGCAAACAAATTAATATATAATCCCTATGCCATAAATATATTTAATTGATATTCTAAATCCAGGGTAAACAGTGTTGTTGAATGACAACTTCCAGCACCCTAGGAAGGATAGTCAATGGTGAGAGGTGCTTGAATATCTAGGGTACCACAGATTGCCTACCCCTTGTCTAAATTATTGATCAATATTAGTAAGCTGAACAAATATTTAGTAACAAGTCAAATGTATGAATGACCCTTCCTATTACAGTCAGTAAACACTGAAGTCCAAGAACATATACAGTTGGTTTGTGTCCAGTGTATGTAAATAACTGCTGTAACTGCTGTAAAAGCCTGGAATTATTACAATGGAATTGTATATTAATAACATATAAATAACTAATACAATAATGCCCTTATACAGTTCTATGATGAGACCACACTAGGAGTATGGTTTGACAATTTTGATTATCACACCTTAATAAAGAATATTATACAGCTGGAAAAGTTTCCAAAAAGGGCAACCAAAACTGAAGTAGATTCCTTATTTCAGGGTTCCTCAACCTTACCAACTTTAAGATGGGTGGCCTTCAACTCCCAGTATTCTGGGAGTTGAAGTCCACCCATTTTAAAGTTTCTAAGGTTGAGGAAGCCTGCCTTATTTGGAAAGACTGTAGCAATTGGAGCTCTTTTATTTGCAATGAAGGAAAATAATGGCATATCAGTGGCAGCTAAAACTGAAGGGTGTTTATTACTTGTATCATCTTTTATCATCTTTTATCTGTTATTATTTTCATCTCTATCACCTTTTGTCGTTATTGATTTTATTGTAATTTCTTTGATTATTATGAGCTGCCCAGAGTCATTGGGAGTTGGGCGGCATACAAATTTAATAAATGATTATTCTTGTTGTTGTTGTTATTTTTCTGAATAATGGGCAGCTTGCTTACAGTTTGCTTGGATGTGACAGAGGAATGGGGCTATCTCCCTCCATTCCAGGCTTATGGACTTAGCAGCTTCCAAAAGATATCTTGTTGACCACTGCGTGTCACAGACTACTGAACTAAATTGATCTATGGAGTGATACAGCAAGGTATTACTCATGTTGTTAATAATATGTTATAAATTGCATTTCATTCAGAAAGAATTCTCAAGCCTTTTACCTGACATTCAGTTCAAACACCCATAGGTGCTCCAGGATTGCCTCCTGTGGTTGGTGACACATCCTTCCTTCCCCCTTTCCTGTTTGCTGGTGATTTATGTGAGTCTCATTGTCTCCTGTCATTTACTGGTGATTTGTGAACAAGCTGGAATGAGCCCAGGGCTGCTGAGAGACCTTGGTGAAAGAGGGATGCCTGAAAACATGTTTGCATCCACCCTTCTCTCTCTGAAAGCCAAATGTATGAGGGTGCTTTCCCCCATTCCTCGTAGCGGCAGCTCTATCATTTCACCTCGCCCACTCAGGAGGCAGGAAGCAAAGCCACTACCTGATGACAGTTTTGGAACAGAGGCAGTTGAAAGGGCTTCTTTATTATCTGGAAGTCAAAATAGTCAAAAGTTGGAAAAGAAGCAGGTGTTGTGCCTGCCTGAGACTTACAGAATCTTCCAGATCCTAATTTGAAATAGGAAGTACAGGAGGGGGGGGAAATCAAATCTAACAAGAACGACAAAGCAATAGAGTGTAGTGGTTAAAGTTTGGGACTTCAACCTGAGAAGCTCACGTTTAATCTCTGTTCAGCTGCCGAGCTTATTGAGTGATTTTAGGCCAGTCACTCTCTCTTAGAGTAAGGATAGAATTAAATAAATAAACAGAAAAAAGTGAAAATTGTACTTTTTTATAATTAGTCAAGATGAAAATTCCATAGCTTGACTTATTTATTTAGCAGATTTACATAGCTGCCCATCTCACCGAAGCAACTCTGGGTGGTGTACAACAATCAGATAAAAAGACAGATAAAAACAAAAGAAGAAACATAAAAAACAACATTAATAACTACTGTAAAAAAGCAGGAATCACTTCATTGAAAATTAAGACTACTCTGAGACTTCACTGAGATTTCACTGAGAATTAAGGTTTTCTGAAGAATATCTGCAATTGTCTTTAATGCTTTACATTACTTAATGATTTACCTTACTAAAAGGATAGTTTGCTCAATATATCTCAGTTAAAAGATGGGCAGTACAGTCTTAAGTATACCTGGTTTGAAGCAAATCCCATTCATTTCAGCAAGACTAACTTCCAGGTAAGAATTAAAAGATTGCAGCCTAAAATAGTTTTATAAGCTATGTCCTATAGGCCTACTTATTTTAATTAGACTTACTTTTGACTCAGTGTGCTAAGAATAGCACTTTCTATCATATCTGACTGGTCTGCACCCACTCATTGCCAAACAGTTTAACAACATACTGCAAGGAGGTGAAATTGAAGATTTTTTTTTAGGTTTTTTTTTTATCCAACTTTATAACTATTGAATAAGAAAGAAGAATTTCACACTAGTATGCCTAGGTAACATTTGTCTCTTCCATTTCTCCTTGCTCATAATTCCTTCCTTAGGTAAATTCCAAGGTTTTAAATACAAAAATGTTTAGATTATATTTTGGTCTAAACGATTTGGTGTTGACTGAATACCATTATAAATTAACTTTCAATCTATGGTGCTACAGAATAGTTTTGAAACCCAGAAGTATCAATATTGTTTGTTCATATCTATGTTTGTTCATATTTATTTTATTTAAATATTAAGAATAATCCCATTAAACCTTATAGCTGTAATTGAATTTACTGACCACTAACATTTTCATGCAGCATGCAGGTTTTTTCTGTTAAAATGTTGGCTGTGGTGAATTAATCCAAATACTTTATTTATATTTCAAGTCTAAAGTTCCAATCTGGGATTTTGACTCAATCCAGATGCAATTTGCAAAGGATTATACACACTAGTCACTCAGTCACACTATTCCTCCAAAAGTTGGATGAACCTATTTCTTACCTTTTTATATGTGTCTCTGTGCAATTGCCATTTATTATCTTTAACAGAGAACCAAGGGAAACAAATTTCTTTTGCTCCTGAAAAGACTAGAAACAACATTTCAGAAAATTAGTTATTGCTTCTACAGAGTTTACACACTATTGAAAAAGTCTGTAAGTTAGCCAGAGTGATCAGTTTTTCAATAGAATCAGCCTTTACAAGTTTCAGATATGTCAGAACATGGCTCCATTCTATTCTGCCTAGCAATCCCAAATCGTTGTTGATATTCCTGTTGAATGACATTAGTAAGGCATGAAAATTATACTAGCACTACTGTGACAAATATCAGAATGGCACTTTGTACTATAAATATCTATTACAGCTCTGGAGGAAGATTGATACTTAGACTGTTAGGCAAAACGATTGTTTAGGGTAGTTTCCAGCCACCTAAAATATACATACTGCAGCTTATCCCAACCACTCCTGGAAGTGGCAGTATGTATGTATAGTAGGTAACTGAAACTTCTTCCCAAGGCCAGACACAAGTTAATACTGCTGTTTCTTGCCATCGTTTCTAACTTTTAAATATGGCTAACTCATGAGTAGCAACCAGAGATTACTCCCTTCTTTCATCCATATTCTCTGCATGTTTATCCATGCAAAGTTTGGAGTACTGTAGGACTGGGTAATCTGCAGTGGGGGTCTCTAGTCCTGTTGCTGTTATTTCTATTCTTAAGTTTTGAGTAATTTCTATACAGTGTATTTCATGCTAGTGGTGTGGTATCTATAGGTGAAAAAATGTTGTTTCAAGATAGTAAATGCTGCCTTAGGAACAGTAATGTATCACTGCCTTGTGCTTGAAAAGGCAATCTGTACTCTTCTTGAAGTGAATTTTGGTTCACCTCACTTTCCAGATCCTTATCACATACTATTATTATTTTGTAAAGGATCCTTAATGCAGAATTGCATTAGAACTTTGAAAGGCAGTGGAGATTTGTCCCCATGCCAAGCACAAAACTCCAGGGGTATGCAAACAATTCTTTATTTTGTGACTTGGGAAGGCAGTATGACCTGAAGAGGTTGATTGAGACACTCAATGACTGACTGATTATTGACTGATTGATTGACTGGCAGTTCTCTATGCTCATCTTCCCCAAGGCACTGAGGCCAGAATTTAGTGGATTCTGGTATGTGTTGCTCTTTTTTAGGATGTTAGTTAAATTTTAAGGGTGCCTTAACTATGTTTTCAATTGGTTGTTGTTGTTTTTTTTTGTTATTTTATGTTGTGTTTATTTATGTTTCTGTTAGCCACCCAGAGTTATCTGGTTAAGATGATCAGCCATATAAATTTGCTAAATAAACAAACAAGCCTCTTGGCCAGAAAGGGGAAGTATTTGGGCTCCAGACTCATAATTATGCCCTTGCTCATAATATCCTAACATCCCAATAAATCTAAAAAAATAATTAGTATTGAATCCGTATTCATTTTAAATACATTGAAAAGTGTTGGAAGACAGAAAGGGTAGTCAGTGTTTGAAATCAAGAATGGAGTCATTTACTTTTAAGTGAATTATATTTGGGGCAGATTAAGAATGAGGAAGGGAGAAATTCTATTTCAAGAGGTTCAGACTCTGAAACAATTAAAGGAAAGTCAGTTGACCAATCAGTCCAGATAACATGTGGAAACCCAGGGAAATCAAATGATGAGGAACCAAATGGAATTTTTCTCTCATTTTTGGCATTTGTGATTTCTCTTCCAAAGCTGACAAAGGACCCACAACAGCCAGCAGGCTAGAATCTAGTGAATTTGGATAGCAAGCTAGTCAGAAAAGCTAGTTGTGATATAAATTCTATTCTATTTTAAGAATGGAGATACAGACTGTGTAAACTTGTTCTGGTCTTTGTATGATGTCCTGGGTTGAGGTAGCAGCTATAGTTCCTGAGCTGACAGTAACTGAGGTGAACTTCTGAAACCAATTGTTTGTCCCTTCCTCATCTTTCTTTTTATTTTCAGCCTTTTTCTAGGCCTCAGATTTTAGTATATATAATAAATATATAGAATTCTTAATGAATCAGTGGTGATATTATGGGAAAAGGATCTAGCTATTAGTACACATCAATAGCATAATGAAAACAGGAGGTTTCCACTTACTTCTTCCTGGTAAATCAGGAACACAGAAGATTTCTCTGGTAGGATAGTCAGTGGCTTCTTGGGAACTGTAGGAGAGCACAACAGGGTTGCGGGAAGAAGGTTTGGAGACTGTTCGTGGAGACTAGTAGGGACCAAGCCACCATGTTCTATGAATGTACCTTTGTGCCTCTTTACAAGTTAGAAGAGTGATATATATAGTAGTCACTAGATTAGTAGAAATAATATTGTGTGCATAAATCTATCGGTGTCAGCACACATGCCTTGTATTCAAAAACTCCTGGGCTGAGTTCCTAGTATCTCCAGGTATGATGAGAACAATTCCTCTCCGGTTGTAGAGAGTAAGGAAGATGACCTTGATAGAGATATGCAAGAATCATTACCTAGGTAAAGGGGGCTGTAAACTTTTTTTTTTTTTTTTAAGACCAGAACAATGAGGTAACATTGAGAAGCAGTTCAGGCAGATGCCTCCCTGATTCACAGGAGTTCAGGAAAGGGAAGGAGGTACAGGACAATCAGACTTTCAAGATTCCATTACTGTAGCCAATCTCAGTACAAATAGTTTTAGCCTTCCTGTGGAGTTAATTTCCAGGTCTGGTCTACCTAGTGGGGCTGACACTGATATTCTTAAAAAAAAAAAAAAAAAAAAAGTTTTTTTTTTAAATACATACAAACATCCCTCAACTAACTACAAAAAAATACCGAAAAAAAGAAAAAAAAAGAAAAAAAACAGAAGAACATAACAAATAATAACAAGGAAAACAGAAAATAATTATAAACAAACTAGGGCCTTATATCAAGTACTAAACATTATGTTATTGTAATATATCATGAAATCTGTGCCAAAGGGAAACATTGCATCATCTTTCATTAATAGAAAATTCCTTTTAAAAAATGGATAGATTACACGTGTCTTGAATTCAGACCTTAAAATCTGGAGTAATAAAGTTTTTCCAATTTATCAAAATAATTCTCTTACCAGCTCCTCATATTTGTTGTAACCAAAGTTCCTCAAAAGCAGTTGAACTCCATATTTTGGAGCATAATTCAATATAAAATTAACACCTTTAATAGGTAAAGCATCTGGTTCATATGTGAACTGAGTATATTGTCACTGTTGTGAATTAGGCAAGTGAAATTCTATTTGAATTCAAGAGAATTCTTTAAATCTTCTCTGATATTCTGGAAAACTGCTTTTGATAGTAGCATTTTCCAAATGGAGGTTCTCCCAATGCATGGGAGGATAAATCCTGTTATCCTAATAATTAGTGATGATGTGGGTTGCAGGGGGGTGCTTAAATTAGGGAACATTAATGTAGACAAAATTGAATTAGACCAATATAATGCAAGCAAATGTATTCAATTCCAGGCTACCACAAGGAGAGATTGACACACACAAACACACTTGATTTGTAGTGTTCTTATTTGCCTCAAGGCTTACTGGCTCAGAAGCTAAAACCCCAAACCTCAAAATTTCCTCCTCAATCTTACATTCTCC